AAATTTATCTACCTTCTGTTGCTTCAGCGGCTTTGCTGAAGGTTGCCTTGCAGAGGGTATTCTTTGTCGCTTCTTCCTTTTCCTCATAACACAAGGAGTTAGTTGCAGCTTTAGCTGTTATCCAAGAATACTCCAGAAGGGAGTTGTACCGTCTTATATTGCAAGTAGTTCTTAAAGTTTTAAAGGCTATGTGGATTTAGAAGTAGAGAACCTTTTTGCAGGAGCTCGTTGTTAAAGCTGCAGCCTCGTCGCCATCTTGTTTCCTCTCTCTTAACAACGCAGTATGAATACCTCTCTGCTGGTAGCCACCTCGTACTTTAGATCACTAACAGGAAACAGAGTAGGACTAAAGGCACAGTCATTTTTTAATCAGTATACATCACTTGTGAAAACAATCCAATGTGGAGGAGATGTGAACCCTAGAAGGGAAAGTCCAACAAGCCAGAAAATGTTATGGAAGGGGCTTCCCCTTCAAACACAAGTATCCTTGAACAGTATCTGCTGTTTGCCAAAGATATTGAATAAGGCAATGCACTCCTTTTACAACTGTATTTCAAGGACAGTCACTAATCAGGTGGAAGCAATATGGATGACAAGAACAGCAAATAGGTAGTGGAAACAATATGGAAATTGAAGGAAAATGCAGGGGTACAACTCTTTGAGGAAGAAAAAAAAAGCATCAGGAATAACAGACTAAAAATACTGATTCTTGCAGCAATGTAACTAAAGCATTGAGTGAGAGCCAGTTTGGTATAGTGGTTGAGGCATCAGGCTGAAAACCAGGAGACTGTGAGTTCTAGTCCCACCCGAGGCAGCAGAATTTTAATACAAGACTGAAGATTGATAATACAGATGTAATTGTTCTTAAAGAAACTTCTCTTAGAATCTTGCGTAAGAGAGAAGAATATTCTTCTTTGACTGATAGATTAAAACAGAAAAAGATCCCATTTCGGTGGGATGGATTGGAAAGTGTGATTTTTACTTTTAAACAGCAGAGTTTTCAACTGAATTCTGTGCAGAAGGTGAGGTAATTTCTAGAAAAATTTAAAGAGGAATTTCAGGAGTTTCAAATGGAGGTGTCAGAGGAGACTACACAAAAACTTCAGCAGGTGCTCCAGGTATCGACTTTTCTAAATTTTTGGCTTAATTATGGAACACAAATACTTAACATGGAATATAAATGGAGCAAATGATCCTCAAAAGAGGAAAAAAATCATTATTTGAAAAAATTAAAACAAGATATAATTTGCCTACAAGAGACATATATTAGAAAAAAGGATGTAAAATGTTTGATTTATAAAAATTTGGGTGAATAATTTATTTCAGCAGGAACGAAAAAAAGAAATGGAGTTGTTTTGTATATAAATTCCAAATTAAAACCAGAACTTGTGTTGACTGATGACCATGGTAGATTTGTTGGGGTGGAAGTTAATTTACATGGGACTAAGGCTCTGATATTAGGAATTTATGCCCCAAATGAGGATAAAGTACTGCTATGTAAAGGACTTATGGAGAGACTAATAGGTTTCTTTATGAAAATTGGTGTTTCATAGGGGATTGGAATGGAATGATCTCCCCACAACTGGATAGAACTTGAGAAAAATATTGAAATCACTCAAGGCAAACTACCAAAATTTTCTTTGATTTGATGGACAATTTAGGGCTTGTGGATATATGGAGACCAAAAAAAAAAAAAAAGGTAATTCAAGAGAGTACACCTATTTTTCGGAAAGACATACAGTGGTACCTCCAGTTACGAACGCCCCTCCTTACAAATCTTTCGAGATACGACCAGCTCCGGCCCCAAAAATTTACCTCGACATGTGAACTCCGCCTCGAGCTATGAACCGGATCCGCGGCCATTTGCCCTGCTGCCACGCGGTCACGGCTTCCTGTGGGCGAGATCGCGGTAGCAAG